AATATATATGGGTTGTACATTGCACACCCGCACTTGGGTCCCTGAGCTTTGATAGGCCCGCACTCACTTCCGGGGAGAGTTGTGTGCGTGTACAACGAAACAACCATTGGTGCGATGTATCCGCGTTGTCTGTTTCACAGCCGCCGCTTGCGTTTCCCCACTTGCGGGCCCACACTCGTGTAGGGACAATGTGTGTATACTTGGGCACAGTACGAAATGTTCGTGTTGTTCGTCTCCTGAGAAACAGGCCGCTCACTCCTTGCCCCCGTTCCCTACCCCCTGCCCATCGACTTCCGTCGCCCGCTGAGAAACAGGCCCCTCACTCCGATGTACCCCTCCCGTACCCTCCCCCCCCCCCCCCCCGCCCCCCTCGAATCCTGTCGTTTCTCTGCTCTTGTCGTTCGTCTTTCCAGGGCATCGTTGTCAACCTCCGACAGGTGTCGCGCGCGAAAATGAACGTGGCCAAGAGAAAGCAGCTCGAGAGCGAAGGCGACTCGGGTGGGGCAATGCAGCAACACCAGCATCTTCTGAAGGGTGCAGGCACTGGCGGTGCCAGTAGCGTTGGCGGCAAGCGGCGCAAGATCGGAGCGATGGCGGCTGTTGCGGCGACACCGGTAGCGGATATTTCTCAGGAGTCGGACCAACAGGCGGGTCCGGTGTTGTTGTTGTTGTTGTTGTTGTTGTTGTTGTTGTTGTTGGGTTGGGGCTCTAGGGAAGAGAATAGTTTGAGAGGATAAGGGGAATAGAGACGGGAAAAGTCGGTCGGTAGGCAGGCGAAGAGGAAGCCCTCTCGTTGGGTGTCGTGACTTCGGGCGTAGAAAGAGACAACAGCAGTCCTCGGCTATCGTGGTGGTCCTTTTCGGGTGAGCTTTCTTGCAGCGGAAAGGGATGCCCACGGAAGGCCAACAAACAAAGAACAAGTCAACGATGACGGCAACAGCAAAATAATGATGGTGATTAAGTGTCGTCTTGTTGTGCCCATCTCTTTCTACCACAGCTGTTTGTGTCGAGACGTTGACGATGTTCCATCGGCCCCAAATTCGTGCTGTACTTTGCCTCCGCCGCAGATCGTCCACAAGGCGGCGCAAGGGCGTGTTGACCTCCACCGCCTCGAGCAGGCCGTGGGGGGTGATTGCGATCGCGCCGTGCGACTACGGCGGGGGGCGTTGGAGCATCTAAGGTGGGGGGGGCTGCCGTCATCGTTGTCATCGTTGTCATCGTCATCGTCAATTTTTGTCATTGCTGATGCTGTTGTTGTTGTAGCAGCAGCAGCAGCAGCAGTACCGGTAGAAGTAGTGATAGTAGTAGCAGCAGCAACAGCAGTATTACTAGTAGTAGTAGTAGTAGTAGTAGCAGCAGCAGCAGCAGCAGCAAGCAGCACTAGTAGTAGTAGTCCTCGTCTTGCTGTGTTATTGTGAACGTTTCAGCCGTGCACATCGCCACCTCTAATCGCAAAACGCTGATCGGGAGAAAAATGGCGACAAGCGTGTCGTTGAAAAAAAAACGATCATTGTTCTTGACCCCCCCCTCCCCGCCGACGCGCTGGCACTCGGCGGCGCGCGTGCACGCTTCCGAAACAGCAAGGTAACCGCTGCGCAGAGTGCGCCTGGTGCTGAAGGTGGCACCGTATTGTCGAAGCTTCCCTTCGAGGACATGGACTACTCTCGGTGAGTGAGATGTTTAGGTGCTGACAAAGGGGGTTGGAGGGCAGGCCGGGAGGGGGAGTCTTTGTGCGGCCCCCGTCCGATACGTGAACTCGTAGGGTGTAATATCGGCATCCGTAGTTTTTATGGAATGGCGGCTACACAAAGCGTGCACTTTTGGTCGGAGGGAGTCTTGGAGACCGGGGGTGGGGACTACAGGAGGAAGGATGAAAACGTGTTTTATGGCTTGGGGGCACGAACGGTTTGACAGAAGGTTGTGCGGTGTGTAGAGTCGAGGTCGAGTTATAGACGATGGTGGTGTCGGTGGTTGCTCTTTGGTGCTTCTACTATGTATGTAGCGTTTCATGCCTAACAGCGGCAACACTGCAGACACTGCAGACACATGCAGCTACTCGAGTAGTGCAACCTTCGATGCGTATATTCAAACCAACAGTTTTTCGTTACTTCATAGGCTGCATGTAACATGGACGAAATAACCACCTATGCAACTCATTTCATCTTTGCCCCCCCACTCCGCTCGGCTGTTCTCTTGGATTTTATGCCACTGTTTTATTTTTGTGTCCGAAACAGGATCTATGGCAAGAATTGCGAAAACGTAATGGGGTACGTGCCGGTGCCAGTCGGCGCCGCGGGCCCCCTCATTGTCGACGGAGAGAAGGTGCGCTTGGTTGAGACTGATAGGTGAAGTGACTTGTATATGTTATGCACGGCTTGTCGACAGTATATGAGTCTTTTTTCTTTCTTGGTACATTATGAACGGCTTGCGGAAAGTATAGCGAGTTTGTGTTCGGTCGGCGCATACACATCGCGCCGACATGCATGGCGTCAGCGGACCAACCTCTGGCAACAGAGTCGCTTATCAGCCGACTGTATCGTGCTGAAACACCCACCCTCCCTTCCAAACACACAAACCATTGAAGTTGGGGCACCGGGCTGCTGTTGAACCGGCTGACCACGCGGAGTGGGAAGTCCGCGCCACAAAGCGGGAAGGCAAGCACGAAAATGCCCCCCGCAAGTGGAACTCCGGTGCTCTCTTGTTGTTGTTTCTCACATTAGCTCGTTAGTCCACAAAAAATGGGGAGCCCGTGTTCTCAAAACCCGGCACATACGACGCCGAAGGAAACAAAACAAAAATAAGGTACAAACCGCTCGGAACAAGAAAACAAAATGAAAGAAAGAAAATAATAGGTATCGCACCGACCGTTCGAGAAAAGAGCCCTCGGAAACCGATCAACATAAAACAAAAACAAAAATAATGGAGGACGCTTCCCACACCCGCCCAAAGAATATCAAAGGTTAACGTACCAGCACCAGGCACTATACACCAGGGCATGGGAGTAACGGAGAAAACAGGACAAAGAGGCGGCAGATGGGCAGACAGCCAGACGTGCAAAAACAAAGGCAACAGCAAAAGCAAAGCGAGATCACGGTACCCAACACAGCAGAGTAGGCAGGGAGGTCATGAAAAATAGAAACACAGAAACACAGCACAGAGGCCGAAGGCAATTCAAAGGACATACATACAGGAGTGTAGCATACAGCAGGGAGGGAAACAGGGCGCAACAGCATCAGCCGGGTACATAGTTCGCCACACGTGCTGCCTCGGTCGCCCTACTCGCTTCTACAGCAGTGCCCGGTCGCCGTTTCTTCCCCCCCACCGCCGCTTCCCCGCCTCTCTTTCTCTTCGGTCCTGAGATGACCGTACTCTCTGCTTCTGCTTCCCTCGCGCGCTGGCGCTTCGCGGACGCTTCCGCCTCCTGCCTGTGCCATTTCCTCATGAACCATGCCGCCCCGTCCTCGACCTTGTTGTACCACACCTCCGGGTCCTTGGCGCTCTCTTTCCATTTACCCCCTTCCTTTTCGTCTCCCATGTTGAAGGCCACGAGGTCCTCTCCTAGACGAGACACCCAGTCGCTCTCCTGCCCGCCCCGGTATCCCACGCCCCCCGCCATCGCTCCTAACAGCATGCGCTTGGGGAGGCGGTTGTCCTCCATGCGCATAACAAAGCCCGCGAAACACAGTCTCCGTTTGCGCACGGTGGCCTCGATGGTTTCCTCGCAGCCTGCCTG